AGTGCTGGGATTAAAGGCGAGCGCCACCAACGCCCGGCACATAATTTTTTTTTTAAAGATGGTAACATCAATACCAATCCCCAGGAAGTTTGAGGGATCCATGCGTGTGACAGAACGGGGGCCCAGAGCCATGAGCCGCTGACTGCCTGGGGCTGGGAAGGAGAAGCCGGCCTACCTGAATCTTCACTTGATCGTAACAAGCAGGACAACTCATTAGGGCCGCGTGCTCACAGTTAAGGCCCCCGAAGCCTGGCTTGCAAACGCAGCTGCCATCGCCTCGACACTCTCCAGGCACCGAGCCCAGGGGGTTGCAGTTGCAGGCTGAGAGATAAGAGGCAGATGAACGGTACATTTCCACCCCAGGAAAGGAGCTGTGGCAAGGGACCAGAACAGGTGCCCTGCCCCCGTCACTCAGAGTGGCACATCTATCCTTAGCTGCGGCCTCAAGCACGTTCTTACACAAGCAGGCTAGAGGAATCTCACGTGGGATCTGTGTGCGTGAATGAAGAGGCACCGGGATGGTCCTCATCGTCTCCCATTGAACCAAAAGCCTACTGGGTACTTTGCTGGCACCCTGATTTTGCTTATAAAGTGCATTTTTTTAGGGCCTATTTTGAGCCAGATGTAAACACTGCCCTCTGTTTTACAGATGAGGAATGTGAGCTCAGAAGAGGTTGAATAATTTGCTCAGGTCCTAGAACAAATAAACGGGAAGCTACCAGGAGAGCTCAGAAAAGCCAACATTCCTTTCCTCCCACTGCAGGAAAGGCCAGAGGAGGCAGCAGCCCTACTGTGTGCCGGGCTCTGTTTAGGAGGCAAGGATATACCGGTAGGTGAGATGCTACTCTAAAGATCACGGGCTGCTCTCGGAGCTGAGTGTTCTGTATTACTTGCACATATTTCCCATGCCTCTTCCTTTTTTAGCATATGAACTCCCCAGGAGCTAGGACTTATTCATCATCGCCCCTTTAGTACTGAGGTGCAAACAGCAGGCCAATGGCAGGTCCTAGACAGCCCAGTGAAGAAGTATTCAGCCTAACGAAATCTAAACCAAGGAAAGAGTTTCAATTTATGCACCCTTGTGTTTATTTACTTTTAAAACAAAAGCCAAACAAGGTCTTGCTCAGTAGCTCAGGCTAGCCTCTAACTCAGGACTGTCCGGCCTTAGCCTCATGAGTGTAGGGATTATAGGCAGGATGCCCCCCACATCTGGTCGCAGGAGCATCCCCAGGTAGACACTCCGGTGTTAGGACCTGATAACAGGGACACTTCTAAGTGCCAGACACCAGAGTCATCATGTGAGCATCCATGTTTAGGGGCAGACCGTGGCTCTGAACCCTTAACACGTGTGAAGGCTTGAGAGAAACCCTGAGCTGAGCGATGCACCTGCACACTCATGCTTTGATCTGAAGCAGCCCTTACAGCCCCCGTGCGTCGGCTGCTTTGAAGCGGAGTTTCCTTAGTGGTTGCCTTCTGTACACAATCACACTGACTTCCGGAGAGGGTCTCTTAAACTGCTTTACAAGCTGCCCCCCTCCCCACTTGGGTTTGCTCAGGCTCAGTTGTGAGTCATTTATTGCTCTCCGGTGACAGGTCTGGCAGCTTCTTTTCTGCCTACCTGCCTTGGGGTTGGGCAGAGGATGTGGCCCCACTTTATCTGCTCTTTCCGCTCAGGAATGTAAACCTGACCGTTTTTTCCCCTCTCCCACCCGGGTTTAACCATTTGAGAGTCTTCAGCACTGTGGTCAGAGTCTGGTGCAGGGGAGACTGGTCTTAAGGCTTCTGGCAGGTGCAGACTGGTCAGGGGAACTATTTGCATCACGATATTAGTTCTGTTTGCCTTTGCATTTTCGTCCATGTATACACTCTAGCAAGCGCATATGTGTTTACATATATGCACATGTACATGCACACACACACATACACAGAGAGAAAGCGATAGGGGTGCATAATTTGTATAGGGGTACAGTCCTACCTCGACACTTGTCTGCTGGGTTGGGAGCCAGGGGGTCCCCAAAGTAACCTGCTTTGCACTGGTCACAGTAGACACCGGCTGTGTTGTAGATGCATTTCAAACACCTGCCTGTCAACCGGTCACAGTTCCCAGTGGCGCTGGGGTCCACATTGTTGTTGCATTGGCAACGCTGACAAGGCCTGACTGGGCCACGTTCCCCAAAGGGATCCCCAAAGTAGCCGTCGGCACAGAGCTCACAGCGGGCACCTGGGAAAGAACAAAGGAACGTGTGGTCACCCCAGATTGTTACCCGTTGGCAGCAGGACCAGGGAGAGAGGTCTAAGGCTCCAGGTAGAAGAACCTGGCAGATGCATTGTGGTGATATATTGTATCCTCTAATAAAATTTTACCTGAAGATCAGAGGACAGAACAAGCCACTAGATTAAACATAGAGGCTAGGCAGCGGTGGCACACACCTTTAATCCTAGCACTATGGAAGCAGAGATCCCTCCCTCAGGATCTCTGTGAGTTCAAAGCCACATTGCACTACATGAGATTGACTCAGTCTAGGAGAGAAACAGAGCCAGAGAGTGGTAGCACACACCTTTAATCCCAGTACTTGGGAATCACATGCCTTTAATTCCAGCACTTGAGATCTCAGGTCTTTGCTTGGGAAGCACACATGCCTTTAATCCCAGGAAGTGTTGGCTGGGCAGAAAAAGGTATATAAGGCCTGAGGAGACAGAAACTAAAAGGCCTTTTCAGGCTGAGGAGTCCTAGAGGTAAGATGTGGTACTGGCTTGTTCCTTTGTCTCTCTGATCTTCAGGCAAATTTTATTAGGATACACAATATATCACCACATTTCCCCTTTTTTGTCTAAAATGATAGATAGATAGATAGATAGATAGATAGATAGATAGATAGATAGATAGATAGATAGATAGATAATGAGGTGTGTGGCCTTGTTGGAGTAGATGTGGTTTTGTTGAAGGAAGTGTGTTCCTGAGGGTGGGCTTTGAGGTCTCAGATGCTCAAGCCAGGCCCGATGTGTTACTGCTGCCTGTGGATCCAGATGTAGAACTCTCAGCTCCTTCTCCAGCACCATGTCGGCCTGCACGCCACCCTGCTTCCCACCATGAACATAATGGACTCAACCTCTGAACTATAAGCCAGCCCCAATTAAATGCTTTCCTTTATAAGAGTTGCCATGGTCATGGTGTCTCTTCACAGCCACAAAACGCTAAGTAACACATGCATTAATCGCAGGCCCCCAGGACAGTACCCTCAGGAACGGGTGCATGTGGCAGGGGTTGGGCCTGGCATTCCACGACCCTGGTCACCACAGATTAGAATACTGCAGCACCACAAAGAGGCTTTAGTTAGCTAGCTGGGTGAGAGCCCAATGGAATGCAAAGGCAGTGAAATGTCAGTGATAGCAAGGCTGCTGCAGAACGCTTAGTTCTTCAGACTGACAGGTATGTGACACCCAAAGGTCACTGCATTTCCCTTCGCTCCCTAGTTCATTAGCAAATAACACAAACCAGGGCTGCAGATGTAGCGCAGAGAGTAGATCACTGGCCTAGCATGCATGAAACCCTGGGTCCGATCCCCCAGGGTTGCAGAAAACTGGGTTTGGTGGCACACACCTAGACTCCCAGCATTTGGGAGGTGGAGGCAAGAGACCGAGAGTTCAAGGTCAGGGTTGGAGAGATGGCTCAGTGGTTAACAGCGCTTGCTGCTCCCATAGAGGACCCAAGTTCAGTTCTCAGCATCCACATCAGATCATTCACAAGGACCTCTGATTAGCTTCAGGGGATCCAATGACCTCTGCTGACCTCAGTGGGTACCTGCACTCATGTATACATACCTTCCTACACACATAATTAAAAATAAATATTTTTTTTTCAAAAGGAGTTCAAGGTCATCCTCAAAAACTAAGTTCAAGGCCGGCTTGGACTACAGAAGACCCTGGAGGGGCAGGGGGGCCGTAGACCATGTAGTTGGTCCGAAACTTTCATCCCCTAAATAAATACACAGGACCGTCAACAAAAGCAGCACTATGCTTTTTCCTCCACAACTGCACCAGCCCCTGCTCAATCCACGACACTGCTCAGGTCCCGCATGTACTTATCTTTAGAATGTGCATGTTTAGGTTAACCTGCTGTAATTATGACTTGGCAGGAACTCTCCAGAATGGACGCTGTTTGCACAGGTCCGCAGCATCAGTCCAGGAAGAAGCTGACTGAAGGACACTTGGCTGGCCTTACCTGTGACCCCAGGGGGGCAGTTGTTGCACACCACCTCCTCCGTCTCAGGCATCACCGAACAGCTGAATCCATTGTGACAGGGGCATGGCTTGCAGCTGCGGGGGTCGTGTGGGTCATTGTAGAAACCGATGGGACAGTCGGCACACTCAATGTCAGGATTCTCATCCCCTGAGTAGCAATCTCCTGGAAGGGAGACGAGAGAAATGGCCGAGTCAGACAAAATACCTCCTTCGATGTGGATGAAATGTGGGGTCAGAGTACAGAGCCCCCAGCCCTCCCAAAGCTTCCCCCAGTGTCTGAACATCGGCATTCATCTCCATCCTTGAACTGAATATAAACATGGCCACCACCTTGGAACTCACTCACCCTTACCCCTCACATTCCGTAGACACACACTTCCTTACCGTCCACGGCACGACCCCGTTCCCCTGGCCTTCATGGCCGTACCATTTGCTGGCACCCCCACTGAGACCCTGGCTTGCCTTTGATCTCCCCACATAATTCTCACAACTCAACACCAAGTCCCCCACCTTCCACTGAACAGGGCAGTCATTTCCTGTAACCCGGCACCTTCGTCTCGCCATCCTGGGGCATTTCCATAATGAAAGGGGTCAAGTGTGCTGTCACCACGTCCATCTCCCTTGACCTCGGTCCCACGCTCCCCATTCTCTTCCCATCTCCTAGGTGAATTCAGGTATGGTATTTCTTCCTCAGCTCTTGCTTCTACAGGAGACCAACTCATCTGGCTCCCCCCCAAGGACACCTGGTCCCGGTTTCATTTCACTCACCTGTGTCTGGGTCGCAGGCCCCTCCCCCTTGGCAGTTACAGGGAACACAGGCGCCAAAAGGCCCCAGTCTTGCCGAATCTCTCTTGTAGCCAGAGGCACAGTCCTGGCAAAATTGTCCCTTGTACCCCACGGGGCATACACAATGCTCAACCCAGGGTGCTGGGGCTCCAGAGACAGGGCGGGCAGAAATCAGGGTCACGTTGTCGATGTACCCGGTGCCTGCAGCAGAGAGCGGAAATCAGAAGTAGCAAGGTCGAACACCACAACTGGGAGTGGTGCCTGGCCCAGGCCTCTGGTCCTGGCACACTGCGAGGCAGAGGCGGGAGAATCTTGGCAAACTCAAGGCCGGAGCCTGGTTTACCATTGTGAATTCAAAGACCAGCCAGGGTTTCATTTTCTCTCCCCAGGTGGTGTGCACGCATGGGACATGGGCAGCCGTAGCAGTCGGTGTCTGTACTCTGGAGTCAGGAAAAATGAGGGTCTAAATTGTGGCTGAATCCACGTTAGCTGTGTGAATTCGGCAGATCCCTTGACCTCTCCAGACTTCAGGTCCTCCGTTTAGAAGAGACGTGATGGCATCATCTAGCCCCTCGGTTCGTGGTGGGAACTAAATGGGACACTAGCTGGCACAATGGACCTGGCAAACAGTAATAATTCAACCAACTGCCAGTGGCCACCTTTCCTACTCCCCGCTGTATCCGGGGCACTGGGGTATGGACACGGCAGGACAGCCACGCTTCCCTGACACCGTGCTTAGAAGTATAAGGAACCCCCATTTAAATAATTCCAGGTGGGATTAGGAGGTTCCCAAAAGGGGATTAACAGAAGGCATGTCCAAACATGGTCGCAGTAAGGCTAACAACCCAAGGGAAAAAACGGGGCAGTGAGCTGAGGAAACAGTCATCAGCTGTAGATTATCCACATGACCCAGTTGAAGGGACTCTTGGAAAAGACGTTATTCATTATTCATTATTCATTATTCATTTATTATTATTCATGGCAGCTGACCTCGAGCTAGAGAAACTTTCCTTTCAGGAAAGAAGAATAGAAAACACAGACTCAGGATTTCCGAGAGAAAGCCTATCTCCTCGCTCGGAGCCTGCCGCCACCCACAGAACGCTGAAGCAGATGAAGCGCAAAGCAAGGGTGAGATGTTTGGTTCTCTCTCCCATCACTTACTGTACTCTCCGTATGTAGCTCGGATCAGGAGGCCCGTGAGGTTCCGCAGCAGCCTTCGGTACTCAAAGTAACTCAGTTGGGGGCTCCAGCGACTGCTTGGGTGTTCAGTTAGTCTGCACAATTGAACCATTTTTCAGTGCTTACAGATCCAAGTCATGCCACACCGCTACCTGATACAAATCACGCCCAGGAACCTGGGAACAATTAGGCTCTGGCGCCGTGTGGTGGGAAGCTTCTGTCCACTACGAGGGCATATCCCACAGGAAGCAGTCGGGGGTGTCTAGTGTATATACTTCCAGGGGTCACTGCAAAAGCTGGTCCCAGGCCCTCAGACACACTGTATTCTTAGCCATGGCATAACCCAGTACTCAACACATTTGACTCCCCAAGTGCTGGCCCTCGAGAGCCGCTCTTCATTCTTAGTTTTGCTCTTAAATGATTCACTTGTCTCCTGGGCACATTTCATGGATTCTTTCCAACTGTCCAAATCTATGCCTTCCCTGAATCATCCTGTAAGTGCTGGGGATCAAATCCAGGCCAGACACACACACACACACACACACACACACACACACACACACACACACACA